CAGTTGACTGTGGAATATTTAGTAGCAAGGAAATTTCACAACTGGACTTGCACAGGTGGCATCCTATCACAGTACCATGCTGGAATTCACTGAGTTCCTGAGAGCGACCTATTCTTTCACAAATGTTTGTAGAAGCAGTCTGCATGCCTAGGTGCTTGGTTTTGTACACCTATGGCCATGAAAGTGATTGGAACACCTGAATTCAATGATTTGGATGGGTGAGTGAATACTTTTGGCAATATAGTGTATATTTGAGCTTTAAGTAAAACTTACAAAGTCTTTTTAAAGGTTCAAATGTCCATGTTTTATCTAGAACAGCCAAAAATTATTCATGTGAATTCCAGAGAGCTGGGGAGGGGTTCACCACTCTGAACAAGACTGCACAAGCAGATACAATTGTGCTCATAAGTTTACATACCCTGGCAGAATTTGTGATTTTTTGATATTTTTTCAGAGAATAATAATGATAATACAACAAATTTTCTTTTATTCATGGTTAATGGTTGGGTCAAGCCATTTATTATCAAACAATTGTTTTTGCCCTTTTTTAAATCATAATGACAACCGAAACTACCCAAATGACCCTGATCAAAAGTTTACATAGTTTTGGAAGTTTTGGCATGATAACATACACACAAGTTGACACACACAGGTTTAAATGGCTACTAAAGGTAACCATCCTCACCTGTGATCTTTTTGCTTGTAAATCAGTGTGTGTGTATAAGGAGTCAGTAAGTTACTCGGCTCCTGACAGACCCCTGCATGTTTCGTCCAGTGCTACCACTGATGTTGTTGGATTACGAGACATGGGGAAAGCAAAATTATCAAAGGATCTGCGGGAGAAGATAGTTGAACTTTATAAAACAGGAAAAGGATATAAAAAGATATCCAAAGAACTGAGAATGCCAATCAGCAGTGTTCAAACTCTAATTAAGAAGTGGAAAATGAGGGATTCTGTTGAAACCAAGCCAAGGTCAGGTAGACCAACAAAAATTTCAGCTACAACTGCCAGGAAAATTGTTTGGGATGCAAAGAAAAAGCCACAAATAACGTCAGCTGACCTACAGGACTCTCTGAAAAAAGTGGTGTGGCTGTTTCAAGATGCACAATAAGGAGGCACTTGAAGAAAAATGGGCTGCATGGTCGAGTTGCCAGAAGAAAGCCCTTACTACGCCAATGCCACAAAGCAGCCCGCTTACAATATGCCAAACAGCACAGAGACAAGCCTCAAGATTTCTGGAACAAAGTTATTTGGAGTGAATTGAACTTTTTGGCCACAAACATAAACACTATGTTTGGAGAGGAGTCAACAAGGCCCATGATGAAAAGTACACCATCCCTACTGTACAACACGGAGGTGGATCGCTGATGTTTTGGGGATGTGTGAGCTACACAGGCACAGGGAACTTGGTCAAAATTGATGGCAGGATGAATGCAGCATTTTATCAGAAAATACTGGAGGAAAATTTGCACTCATCAGCCCGGAAGCTGCGCATGGGACGCACTTGGATGTTCCAACATGTCAATGATCCAAAACACAAGCCCAAGTCGACCTGTCATTGGCTACAGCAGAAAAAAGTGAAGGTTCTGGAGTGGCCATCTTTGAGCCACTGTGGGGAGATCTCAAACTTGCAGTTCATGCAAGACAACCCAAGACTTTACAGGTACTGGAGGCATTTTGCCAAGAAGAATGGGCAGCTTTACCATCTGAGAAAATAAAGTGCCTCATCCACAACTACCACAAAACACTTCAAGCTGTCATTGATGTTAAAGGAGGGAATACACGGTATTAAGGACTAGGGTATGTAAACTTTTGATCAGGGTCATTTGGGTAGTTCCTGTTGTCATTATAATTTAAAAAAGGGCAAAAACAATTGTTTGATAATAAATGGCTTGACCCAACCACTAACCATGAATAAAAGAAAATTTGTTGTATTATCATTATTATTCTCTGAAAAAATATAAAAAAATAATAAATTCTGCCAGGGTATGTAAACTTATGAGCACAACTGTATTGCAACAGTTACATTTCTCAACGTAAAACAGCAAAGAGCTTGAGGAATTCATCATCTATGGTACATAGTATTATTAGAAGGTTCAGATAATCTGGAGAAATCTTTGTATGCAAGGAAAAACCAATATTGGCTGGCCGTGATCTTTGGGCCCTCAGGTGGCACTGCATTACAAACAGACATGGTTCTGTAGTGGAAATCACTGCATAGGCTCAGGAACACTTCTGAAAACAGGACAAACAGGATACAGAAACACCGTCACCTTCTCTGGGCCTGAGCTCATTTAAGATGGCCTGAGGTGAAGTGGAAAGGGCCCTGTGGTCCGATGAATCAAAAAATGAAATTCTTTTTGGAAATCATGCGTGGCGTGTCCTACGGGCTAAAGAGAAGAGGGACCATCTGGCTTGTTATCAGCTCACAGTTCAAAAGCCTGCATCCATGATTGTATGGGGATGCTTAAGTGCACATGTAATGGGTGACTTGCTCATCTGTGAAGGCACCATTAATGCTGGATGATATTTACAGGTTTTTGAGCAACATATGCTGCCATCCAGATGATGTTTTTTTTTTTTTCTTTCAGGAAAGGCCTTGCTTATTTCAGCAAGACAATGACAAATCACATACTGCATGAAAAATCACTTTTGGCACTAACATTTTTCAGTTTCAACATTTGCCATGTTGTCTTCATACTATTCTCTATTAAATATAGGGTTTAAATAATTTGCAAATCCCTGCATTCAGTTTTTATTTACATTTTGTACAGTGGCTCAACTTCTTTTGAAACAGGACTGCGAAGGTATGTAATTTTGTGCGAGAAGCCAAAATTATAATTTTAATGTATGTTAGTATAAAGAGATTTTCTTGACCAAATCTATCCATCAAGCGAGTAAAAGATGTGAAAGATATTTACTTAACTGAAACCCAGTATTCCAGTGCCCTATCCAGTATTTAATAAGAAGACATGTTACACTTCCTTGTGCTCTGGTATGTCCAGTTAAAGTGTTTCCCTTCTGCTGTGCACTGATAGGTGAAGCATGCAGTTTCTGACGTAGGATCCTTTTGCTTGTCTCCCTTCCCCCCACTCATCCCCACTGCAGAGAATCTCAGCTCTGTTTGGCAAGTGTTCTGGAAGGACTGGCTAAGGGAGAGGATTCAGCGTCCTTGGACTTTTATCAGCCTCTGTTCATTAATGAGCCGCATCCTGTGGGGACAGTGCTGAATGGGGTGATGGCGAGACAATGCTCTACAAGTCCCAAACTGCTTAGTTGTTTCATCACCCAGCTACCCTTGGGGAGAAGTACGACCTCTGCATCTTTAAAGGCAATCAATAGTTTACCTCTGGCTTCTTCACTTTCTCAGTTTTAAATTGTTAAAGAACTGCTGACTGAGTTTTCCTGCTTCCTGAGAGTTCTTTCTGGAAATCACAGAATTTTAGCTATCATGACCCAGGCTTTTGACCCAGATAGACCACTCCCAGGCGAGGTTATAAAAGCCTTTAAACAGTCTAATTTCTTAAAAATACTTTTGTTCCAGTAGTCAGAGCTTTAGCTGACTGTGTATATGTAAGTGGGTTGGAAGGTCCTTTGCTCCCCCAACTGTGGTCTGTCTCCTCTTCATTAGCAAAGTGGTGCTGTCTAGGAGCCAGGTAGTGCGTTCCCACATCACTTGCAGAGAAGGAGACCCATTAATCACAGGCCTCTCGCACTGGGGCCAGGGAGATCATTTGGCCCTGAAGTACAAGGGTACAACCAGGTCACACTCCCTTGACCTCACATCAATACGGCTTGTGAGGAGGCGAGGAAGAGTATTACGGGATGGGATGGGGCAGGACAGAAAGAAGAAGTCGAAGCTGAGGGGAGGTTGGGGGTGTGGCTGATGTTATAGCCCGAAGTCCATTTGTTTAGTGCTGCTTGAACCTTGTAGCCCACTTGTTCAAGTAGAGGTACAGAAGCTATGGCATTAAATGGCTGTATTCTGTAGTGCTGAGTGGCACTGACCGCTGAGCCACTGCTGAAAGCACATGGAGTGTGGAGACTAAGAGCAGACTCTGAGAAGGAAATCATGTACTGAGGGTAATGTAAGCGACAAAAAGAAAGGCAAAATGGGTGCATTATTATGGGTGCATACCTTTCACAATTGTTACATAATCGCCTGATCACAATTATTTGAGCTGATCACAATTATATTCCTCTCTTGTTAGCTTTCACGATCATATGTTTGTCATAACGAACAGCTTTAACTGGGTGTATTTTCATTCATTAAGTTGAGGCAAATGAATGTAAGCAACTTATGACTGATGCTGTAGATGGAATTGTTGAGTACTGTTTGTTTGTTTGAGCTCTGTGACAGTCATCACTTTGGAGTTCCTAAGTATTGACAACTAGGAAGCAAAATAGCTAACTTTGCCACTTTAGGCTTGTACTAATAGTTGCATACAAATTACAAAACATCTGGTTAAATTGTTAAGTGCAATTGTTTATATGGTAATTAATTGTCAGCAATTTTTTCAATCATTCTATTTTACACTAAATTACACATTTTAAGCAACTTGCTAACAGCAACTTCCTCTGCCAGTTATGTTACTGCTGCGCACTGGGTTTTTTTTTAGTGTTATGCATGTTGTCTGCTAGAGCACATTGAGTTTAGTGGAAGCCTGTTCACCACTGCATGTAATATGTTGCTGGCAGGGCAATTTGCAGTTCAGTTTTCACAACATAGTAAAATACATATCATGGAGAGACAATGTATGACTTTTATGAGAAGATGTATTACATTCTTTCATTTTTTTACTGCAAAGATGAAAACTGGGTGCAGTACTCAGTCATGCTGTCAGAATGATAGGAAATTACCTGTTTTATTGGACCATGTAAAACCTACTATTAAAGAAGCAGCCATGCCTCTCTCTTACCCAGCACTACCCCTTGTTTTATCTATGAGCAAAGTTTCAGTGCTGTTGCTAACTCAAGGGAATTGTCTTTTATGTTTCAGATCCTGGTGAACTCTATTAACCAGCCTGCTCTGCTGTATGAAAATGTGGCTGTGAGTGAAGGGAATTCCATTCTGAGAGACATGCTCTTCAGCCCAGACCATCAATATATATACACACTCACAGACAAAAAGGTGAGACTCTAGCGCAGACATGCAACACAACACATCAATATCCAGACACATACATTTTTCACTATTTAATCTAAGCTCATTCTGGTCTGTGGAATTTGAATATTGGAGTGGTTCTTGAATCTTAAAAAAGCTCTAAAAAAGTTTTTAGCATACATTAGTGGTACTGGGTAAAACAACATAATCTGAAGAATCTAAATGATGGCGTTATTTGCACTTGAAGTTGTAATTTTTCATGTTAATTTTTTCCTTCCTTATGTTGTACTTGAGGCACCACTTCATCTCTACTAAATATATGTGGTGAGATGTGTGTATGTGCAAGCTTTCATGTAAAAGATGCACACAGCACTCATGATAGACCGTCAATATGTGTAAACACACACAGCGCCTCTAGTAATACGCCACTTATCAAAGATGATTGGGAATGGAGGCCTCTCTAATCCTTTCTGATGGAAAAAAAATGTGAACCAGCTCCTCTCCTAATTGGAGAGCCTTCTCTCCTGGACTCATTAAAGGGCAGTTCCTTTATCAAGACTAATTAATGCTCATTAACAGGAACCTCAAAAACACTAACCGGTATTGGTCACAAATTTCATATCCGTTGGGTACCATTCTGCATGGTTTGTATAAACTTCATGGTTTTTATCAACTTGCAGGTAAAATGCCAAACTTAAATACTCCCCCAACACAAGAGACAAGCTAATCTGGGCTCAAGCTTATCTGAAATGGACTGGTGCACAGTGAAAACGTATATTGTCCTTTAACGAGTCCAACTTTCAGATTGTTTTTTAAAATAATGGACATTGTGTTCTCTAGGCCAAAAAAGAAGAGGACCGTCCAGATTGTTACTATAATGTAAAGTCTGCCTTCTAGATTCTTTTTTTTTCAGGGACACCCATGCTTATTTCAACATGTCAACTTAAAGCTGCATTGCACGTGTTACAACAGCGTGGCTGCATAATCAGAGAGTGGGGGTTCTAGACTGGCCTGTCTGCAGTCCAGAACTGTCTCCTATTGAAAATGAGAACAAAGGCCCTGTACAGCTGCATGGATGAAGACTTGTGTAACAGAAGAATGGTAAAAAAAAACAAAAAAAAAAATGCACTTTCAAAACTGGATCAGTTTGTCTTCAGTCCCCAAATGATTATTAAATGCTGGTAAAAGGAAAAATGATGTAACACAGTGGTAAACCTGCTCCTGTCCCAACTTTTTTGGAATGTGTTGCAGGCATTCCAAGTGATGAATAAACATGTAGTTACAACTCCATTTCCAGAAAAGTTGGGATGCTGTGTAGAATGTAAATAAAAATAGGATGCAATGATATGCAAATCATGTAAACCATATTTTAAAGAAAAATACTACAAAGACATCATTTCAAATGTTGAAACTGAAACCTTTTATTGGTTTTTGAAAAATATATGCCCATTTTGAAATTGATGCCAACAACACATTCCAAAAAAGTTGGGAGGGGGGAAAATTTACCACTGTGTTTCATCACCTCTTCTTTTAACAACACTCTGTAAGCGTTTGGGAACTGAGGAGACCAGCTGCTGTAGTTTTGAAAGTAAAATGCTTTCTCGTAATTGTTTGATACAGGATTTCAGCTTCTCAACAGTTCGGGGTATCCTTTGTCATATTTTTCATTTCATAATGCGGTAAATGTTTTCAGTGGTAACAGGTCTGGACTGCAGGCAGGCCAGTTTAGCACCTGGACTCTTAATACAGAGCAATGCTGTTGTAAAACATGCAGAATGTGGTTTGACATTGTCTTGCTGAAATAAGCAAAGCCTGCCCTTTCAGAAGTGTTCCTGAGCCCATGCAGTGATTTCCTCTACAGATGTTTGTTTTTAATGCAGTGTCGCCTGAGGGCCCAAAGATCACGCCCAGCAAATACTGTTTTTTGGCTTTGTCCCTTGCATACAGAGATTTCTTCAGATTTTCTGAATGTTTTAATGTTATTATGTTCAGTAGATGATGAAAAACAAAAGTTCTTTGCTATTTTACATTGAGAAACATTATTCTTGAATTGTTGCACTATTTGCTTGTGCAGTCTTTCACAAAGTGGTGAACTCCTCCTCATCTTTACTTCTAAAAGACTCAGCCTCTCTGGGATGCTCTTTTTATACCCAATCATGTTACTGACCTGTTGCCAATTGACCACCAGGTTTTTTTTTTTAGCATTCCATAATTTTTTACCAGCCTTTTGTTTTCTTCGTCCCAACTCTTGTGTTGTTGGCATCAAATGCAAAATGGGCATATATTTTTCAAAAAACAATACAATTTCTCAGTTTTAACATTTGATTTGTTGTCTTTGTACTATTTTCAACGAAATATAGGGTTTAAAGTATTTGCAATTGTTGCATTCTGTTTTTATTTACATTTTGCACAACGTCACAACTTTTCTGGAAATGGGGTTGTACACATTCATATAGTTCATATAGTAAAACACAAAATGTTGCATTTGGTACCATTTTCAATTTATTACAGGTCGAATAAAATTTACTAACCACTGCTTTCTATTTTATTATCATTTCACCTACTGTCCCAATTTTTTTACAATTGGATTTGTACATTAATTATATAGGATGCATCCTCAGGCCTTTTCATTTTATGGTGGTTTACATAAGGAGACACCAAATGAGTGCTGAATGTTCAACTTTTTTTTTTTTTTTACTTTTTTCATACTGGGTTAAAGTCATTACACCCTTGATATTTTCAGGTTCAGTAAAAACTTTTGATTCTGACGTTAAGATTCAATTCATTATTCAAGATTTTTGGATTAAAATATCTTAATTCTAAACAGCTATAATTATATACTACACATCGTCTGGCTCAGAAAAATAAAGATTTTATTAAAAAAAATGCGAAGCAGCACATCCTTCTGCAAAATAGTGATGTAAAAGAGCAACACAAGATATAGATTATAAGATGCAGAAAATGTAAGAAATAGATAAACAACAATGTAGCAGATGGGGAAAATGAGCAAATGAGTTCAAACTTACTGTACAGCAAGAGGCCCAGAGTACTGAATTGTACTGAACTGTATTAGTGCCACTAATCAGAGGGCTTTAGGAATATGTCCTGTGCACAGTCAACATGGTGGAGCTGCTGATGAATGGCAGGAAGCAAGTGTATACTGAAAACTATATGATTTCCATTTATTAGTTAATTACAATCATTAGTGTAGTTAGAAACAAGTGAGTCTTGGTTGAGTTGTGGTTTGTGAGAGGAGGAAGAAGGGACACATCAGCAACACGACTGGGCATTGGGTTCAGATTTCTGCTGCCGTATATAGTTGTTCAGTTGAAACAACGGTTGCCCACCTACTGAACCTGAATCTATTTATTGTTCATTCAGAAGAGTCTGTACTACAGTACAATATGCTGCATTCTGAGGGAGAGGGCTCTAGGGGCTGTAGATACAGGCTATGAAAAAAATTTAATCAGCCTTCTGTCAAGCTTATCCTTTCTAATGACTGTGCTTCTTAACAAATATGTATTGTCACACACACACACACACACACACACACACACACACACACACACACACACACACACGCACCCACACATTATACGTAAATACCTCTGCTGCACCAGCATTCTGTAATTTGTCAGCAATTAGGGATAATCGTCTTTAATGTGTCCAAAGCTTTACAGAGAAGATGCTGTAATTGATATAAATAGGTTGCATTTGAGTGATTCTGACATCGGAGATGAGCAAGAAAGTATAGAGGAAGGGCACAGTAGATGAGAAGTCCCTCATCATTTTTCCACATTAATGGTTACTGTATACTGTACTTCAAATGGACATGCAGTGACTTAAGCGTATGGAGCTCATGTGACTAGCTGGTATAGATTTTTTTATATTGGCCCTGCTATATTGGTTGTGCTTTATTTTGATGGTTCCTTATAGCATGTACAGATGCTCAAGTGGTTAACAAACTACCTATTGTTGATCATTAGCAGTGTTAGGGTTAGAGGTAGGTTTAGCTTGGGTTAGATATAGATTTTAGTTTTAGTTAGAGTAAGTGTTAGGATTAGGAAAAGGTTCATTTAAATATATATTTAAATTGAATTCCATTTAAAAGCAAGGTGAGCATCTACAAGGAGTCTACAATTGACAATTGAAGTAAAATGTAAATTGGAAATCTTGAATTCGACATTAACCCATAAGAGACCCTGGTGACGTATGTGTCACAAACCCTTTAAAAGGTCTTGAAAGTTCCTTATACAGCTTTATACTTTACTTTATCCTCATGAAGTTTCTATGTGACATACATTGAACATCCTGGAAGCAATCATATGACACTTTGTGAATTTGTGAGACAAAACCAGCTAATTTTAAAAGTTTTTTTTTTCTCTAAAGTAAGGTAAGTTCCAACCCATTTAACATGCTGTTAATGCTTTAATAACATGTCCCTTATTGCATCTAACTATTCTGACCCCATTTCCAGAACAAAATGATGAAATACAAGTTTGTGTTGTATTTGTTTTTGTGACATATAATTTACATCAGGTTTTACATCAGATTTTAATCTTAAAATAGTTACAGAAGATGCCATGTGACCTCTTTTTCACAATAAGAAAAATACAAATTATCTGCTCAGTTAGTTTAGCTGATTCAATTGTTTTGAATCAGTATATTTTCTGTTATTCAAAGCTTATTTAAACAAATGTAAACAAAAAATGTCAAATCAATTAAAATATTTTTTAAATGTATTATGAAACAATTTTTGCATATTAGTACTGAAATTGCACCTTGGCTTAAGCTGACATGCTTCACTTGGTAAATAAACAAACAAAATTTTTACTATCCTATGTTGATCCTATTTCAATTTAATATTATTTACTTGTAGTATGAATACCAAGAACTGTCTTCCAGATGCACTGAAAATCATTACTGGAGATGACAGTGAGTTTGAGGGATGTGAAGATAGCTCAGATAAAAACCCTGATTACACTCCTAGCAACAAAGACATGGGGAGTGATGAGTCAAGTGGGTCT